GGACCTAATTTAGACTGTATCTCTACATGTCTACACACATATATTGATATTTAAACCTTTAGGTATTTGCAGATACACATAACTTGGTTGCTTCAATCTGTGATATTCCTTGCTATGTTTTGATGGTAGCCCTAAAATTTCATATATTGATATAATTGATATATAATCTGATATATTGATATAATTTTCCATCAGAAAGTTGCCATTAATCTAAAAGCCAATGTGTCTAGCAACAGGTACATAGACATAACAAACTAATGTAAGAGGGGAACAGTTTTGCTGAAGTGCTTTATTCTTTTAAATTTTCAGAAGCAATTCCATGGCATGGCAGCTCTTTGTGCCTTCCAGTCACACAGAAATCAATTTGCTGGAGCCTAACTGTGCTCCTTTCGATCTTCCTCATGAAAAAAATGCAAGAGGTCTCCAAATCCTGGTCAGGGCTTTTTTCATGGAGGCCCAGTAAACAAGATACTTTCTTGTGTTAAAAGTTGCAGTTATCACAATGACACTTTGTGAAGACTTAAAACTGAAAGAGACTATGAAACTTTACGCACCTCATCCTTAAACAGCCCCAGCCATAAACAGCAGACAATATTTTATATGCAACGTGTAAGGCATAGCTGATAAAAAACAAATCATATGCAAAACTGTGTTTACAGCAGCCAGGATTCTGAATATCTAGTAAAATCAAGATGTTATCTATAAAGGTATGGAAATTATACTAAATACGACAAGCAGCAAATAAATTTGCAAGCCTAGCAGGGCACAGTAAATTTACAGATGTTTGCAAAGTGCTTAGCTTCAGGTAAAAAAGAAAAAAATTAAGCTAAATCTTCTCACCAAAGTAAAACAAAGAGGAAAATAAAGTTTTAGGAAAGAACAATTCTGTTCCAACTATCAGATAAAAAGTAGCAGGGACATAATATGCTAGGTTAAAGTGCTATTCCCCACCCCCCAGAATTTCCTCAGGTGACCTCTTCACAGTGAAGAAAGTTAATGTAGCTGATTTTTTGCCTATAAGCTCACAATCCTATTATCCATTGGTTTCATTGCAAGGTGTCTGTTAGTAGCAAACAGCTGGGTACTGGGATAATCTTTAATCAACTTGACCCACATAATGAGAACAATGAGTGAAATCCAGATTCAATAGCAGAAGTTTATTAATTGGATCAGTCTAACTGGATTACCACTATTTCCTGCAAAAAAAGGAAATGCCAGGGATGTGACAATTACCAAATAAAAGCATGAAAAGGTGTGATCTGCTAAAGAACAGCGTGGTATGATATCACCAGTCCAATAGAGGAATACACTTACATAGTTCAGGTTATCCTTTTTGTGAAATCCTCTGTTGCTTTATTGAATCAACTGTTGCCCACTAAGTTAAGAAAAAGAATACATCTGGCTCTTAACTACAATCAGTGTAATCAATGAAGAAGAAAAAAAGACAAGCATTTTACTTCAACGTTTACCAACATCACATAATGTGTTACGCTGCCAACTTCTAGACACATCCAAACAAGGCCATTTTTTAATCACATAAAGCTTTAGTTAGATAGAAATGCTATTTAGATTTATGGGCTGAATTTCAACTACTTCACTCAAAAATGCTAGACACAAACATCTGAAACAGAAATTGATGATGAGGTCATGCATGCTCACTGCAAGTACATCTGGAAGCAAGACAAGCCAACAGTCTAAACCATTTCCTTTGAACTTGACAAGCATGGTATGCTTCAAGGAATACAAGCTATGATATGCTTTTATACAAGTTCCAACCTTTGAATTGTGCGCAAAATCAACTGGAAAATATGTGCAGAGTCAGAGCATTACCTGATGTGAAACACTGCTATCCAGTTAAGGACCAGATCAGCCCTTCTCCTAAGATGGATCTGCAAAGAGCCTCTGTACTCCCGGGGATCTTCGTTGGCTAGGATCAAAGCTCAGTTGTACAAATAGAGGTGCGGAGGAGTCACCATTGCAACTCCTGAACAACTGCTCCTCTCCCGAGCCTCTATCCACAAATAGCAACATTATTATTCTGATTCCTGAATGGTGTCAATGAACAACATCCTTTGAGGTTTGCCTACAGGCTCAGTGAGACTAGCTGAGTGCTGTGACAGCTTCCCTCACTGCAGCAAACCAAGGGGCACAGAAAAATTGCTGCCACCAGTTCTCTCATTTTATTAAGTAGTGAGGTGAAAAGCCTCTCCCTCTCCACCTCTTCCCTGTCCTGGGAGCTGTTTGTTTTTCAGTTCTGCAGGAAATGTTTTTATAAGATCTGTAGCACGAAAAATGCCAGGATGTGGGACATAACTTATGTATCTCTAGGTATGGTTATGTCGGGACCAGTGAATTGGTTCCTACATGAATACCAAAACCTGAGGTCATGCCAAGTTACCTGCACAAGGACTGCCTGAATCACTGACAGCAGCAGAACTAACGCAGGTCCTGTTTCCTTTATTTCCTCTCTCAGGTTAGACTCACACACAGGCCATTTGGTGCAGAAAGAGACACATGAACTGTTCAGTATTTCCACTAAAAATTAAATATATTTTTGATTTTTAAAAATGTTTTATGATAAGCATGAAGAATGTAAGAATCACCACTTCAGCAATTAAAATGAAGCGCTCCATAGTCAGTCATTATCTATCAGCATTACATATAGCTAAAGGAAAGTGGAATGCATTAGTCATTCAGTAATTATGGAATAGGGCATTAAACATCAGTTTTCTGTTTGAAAACAAGGTCAAAATGAAAAGAAAACAGACAAAAATTGTAAGCGTGCATCATCTTAATTTACATTTTATTTTCAGGCCAGATGCAAGAAAGCTCAACAATCAGGTCAGGCAGTTGAAATAGTATTTACTCTACCCTGAAAATCAGTTGGAAAGGAAAATTATTATATAAATAAAATTTATATAGGAATAAAAATAGTTTTCACTGTTTACATTTAAAGACAGGAACAACTGTATTTAAATTATTTTTCCAGGTACAATCATTTATACTAAGAATATGAAGGAAGAAAATTCTGGAAGGGCAGTGAGCCTCAAAGTATTGATAATAAACTTAGGGAAAGAAATAAACAGGTAAGAGAAATCTAAAAAACAGATGACACTGAGTTCCCCAGTTCACAAGACTGCACAAAAATCCTAAGAAACTCCCAGTTTACCTGTATTTTAAAGGTTACTTTGCCTCTAAGTATTACCAGAAAAATTCTTTAAGCAAACTCAAGTATATTCTTAAAAGTTGTTAAACAGGCATAAGCAATTATTTGAAAGTTTAATTTTCTCCAAGAGATGTGATTCTTCTATTTATACAAAAACATGTTGGTACAAACAGAACCATGACAATTTGTATTAGCTGTAGAATTTTCTCTTACTAAACTCTGTTATTGCCAGACTGTTTTGTACAACTAGATGTATAAACACGCTGTTAATCCAGCATCCTCACATGAAAGAAGTAACAGTGTTATTTCTAACTGGAAACATCAAGACCAAGAAAATCTCAGAAATGAATGGAATATTTATACAACATATTCCAAGTGAACATCACAAAAACTGTTTTGGAAAACTACATGAGATTTTTCACAGAAAAGTTGGAAAACTACATGAGATTTTTCACAGAAAAGTGCTGGAAGAGTTGGGATTTTTTTCTTGCAGTCAACAAGTCAAATACAATAGAATAGCTTCTAAAAAAATTTTAATCAAGGTCATACTTGAGATGTCACAAGCAAGAATTCTAATTAACACCCTAGCAGTCAGCAATTAAGTCTGCACATCTGATAGATTTACAACATAGACTGGAGAACTGCATCAGACTACAAACATTTATTTACATGGCAGCTGCTATGGACAGGAGCTCAGGTTTTTGTTATTTTTTTCAGAAAGCCAGTGATCTTGTACAAAAATGAGGAAATGCAAAGGTGCTCCTGCCCTGGAAGATTTAACTGTTTCCTGTAATCATATCCAGTAGATGGATGCTGTTCCCATATTAGAAGTTAACAGCATCCCTCAAGAGAGACAGCAGAGGCTGTAAGATCATTTATCCCAGAGAATGTGTGGAGGATGGGGGAAAGGGAGAGCAGAAAGGGTGGAAGTTCTATAGTTCTGCCTCTCATGATCATGGAAATAATGGCAGCCACAGGAACACCTGCCTTCTCCATAGCTGAGCTGAGTTCATGTTTATTTGTGGAGAACAAAACCCCTTTGGTTACTGGTTTGGTTGGGATTTTTTTTCCTGTGGCAAATCTAATATCCTAAGCCTTTAAAATCATGGCTGTTAAAGAGATGACATACAGAACGTGAGGTGTATCACACCTCCCATATGCTAGTTCAGCATGGAATATTGCACCCAAGTTTATTTTCTTAATCTAAAAGTGATATTTCTTTACCTAAAGTGATCATAACTCTAGACACCATGAAGCCCCTGAGTTTCAAAACTCTGATAGCATGCCTGCATCCATGCTGCTCCTGAGATGGACCCAGCCCAGTGTGGCTGGAAAACCAGCACTGGCCATTCTCCATGCAGGGACACTGGCACTCCTGAAGCAGGAGGGACGTTCCTTGCAGAGTTCACAGCTCACTGAGAGTGCAGCTTCCTGCTGGCCAGGGGAGGGGCTGGGGGGGCAACAGGGGCTGTGCAGGGCAGGGACCTGCCCCTCTGCCCCTGTCACCTGCTTGCCCAAGGCAAGTTGTCCTGCTGCTGCCTCTGCACCTCCTAGGGAGCGGGACCGAGGCATTACTAATTTACTGTACATAAACTAGTGAAGAGTACAGACCTCACCGCCTTATCAAAGCATATCTGTAAATCTGAGGAGCCTGAGGATATTGTATTTTGGTTTTGCCAACTCTTTGTCTATCAGCAACTCTCTGAAATGGACTATATTCCTGGAATATTTAAGAAGAGAATCCTTAAGACTGTGATCTTTAAGAAATTAAACAGAATAAAGGAAATTAATAAATGTTCCATTTAATTCCAAGTTATTTCAAAAACATTTTTGATTTTTTTTTTTTTTACCTGAATGTATTACTTTTCCTTGTCTGAGTCAATAGAATAATGGCTAGGTAAGTAACAGTCAAGCATCTGTCAAGGAGAAATTGTGCTTGACCTGGGTCAAGAAAAAATGACCAGTCTTCTGTTCAATGTCAGGTATTAGGGTAGAACACACCATGTACCTTGACTTGAACAGTTCTATCAGACGTAATGTAAAAGCCTCACGAATGCAGTCTAAACAAAAAGCAGTGCAAGACATAGGAAAATTGTACTCAAAGGTTAATCAATTGTTCCCTGAAAAGTAAAATGATAGATAGATACCAAAAGGTAAGTAAAGGTCAGTATCATGCAGCATTTTCATTAATTATTTATAGAAATTAGAAAGTACAGTTATTAAATTTGCACATGACATTTGGCTGAAAAATGCTGCTGCCTTGTTGAAGGACAAGGTTAACATAGAGACTAAAATTAGAGAAATGCCTTCGAGGGGAAAAAGCCTGTCATACACCTGGTTTTGACACCCAGGTAGGAATAAACAACACAAGATGGGAAAAAGCAGGTTGAGTAGCAGTTCTAAGATCAAATCTGGTGCAGGACAGACAAAGGTGGAAGGGAGAAAGGAGAAATTATGATTGCAGTCTGAACATGTTTAACAATATCAAGCCACGATGGCAAAAAGCTGTGATGTGTAACTATCAACAGAGCTTGCAAACTGGATGGGGAAAACCACCCATAATCTTACTGCTGCTCTTGGTTTTTGAGACTGTAGCCTGACTGCCATGTTTTGGTATTCTGCACAGACCTAGTCCACTTAGTGAGATACCAGCATGAAAAAGGCTTCAATGAAACCTCATTGCAGCCTTCCAGAAGCTTAAGGTGGTATATAAAAAGGAGGGAGAGAGACTTTTTGTACAGGCAGACAGTGACAGAGCAAGTGGCAATGGTTTTATACTGAAAAAGGTTGGGTTTAGATTAGATGTTAGCATGAAATTCTTTACTCAGATGATGGTGAAAGACTGGAATAGGCTGTCCAGAGAAGCAGCTGCTGCATCATCTCTGCAAATGTTCAAGGTCTGGTTGAATGGGGCTCTCAGCAACCTGGTCCAGTGAATTTCATCCCTGTCCTTGGCAGAGGGGCTGGACCTAGATGATCTTTAAGGTCCCTTCCAGCCCAACTATTCTATTACTAGGAAAGACAAACGGAAATTACAAGGGAAGACTGAAGGAGCTGGGGTTGTCTAATGTACTGAAGAAAAGACTAAGGGAAGATTCAGACAACATGCTTTGCATACATTAGCTGCCAGAAGTAAGAAAATAAACAGTCCCTGTTAGTGGTGGTTATGGAAAACGTTGTGAAACAAAAGTAATTTATTTTCCACCCTTTTTACTCTATTCCCTTCACAAGTCCGAAGTGACTGGAAGATAACATTTATATGTAAAATAATGATTTTCAAGAATAATGCTTCTAAATAAAAGAAAAGCTTTGTTTTCTTCATGTGTATCAGTTTCATAAGGAATATTTCAAGACATATATTTAAGTCAGTAAGAAAATATTTTAATAAACAAATCAGCTTGCAAATGCATACAGTATTATAGACTAAAACCAAAATCACTACCCACCATTGCAATAGTAAACTGCAATTTATGATAACATGAAGTTTAGCACCTGAATGAAAAAAACTAATCATTAGTAACAATAAAATGATTTAGCTTTGATTAATAGTCCTTTGATTTTCTTACTATTCCAAGAAAAACAGACACAAATATTTCCAGATTTTCTTTCATGCCAAATGTTTTCATTTTACACTTGGCTGAAGCAAGTTAGGGTAAATGTTGGACACACATTTTGAAAATGATTATGTATTGTGATCTACCAACACTGTCTTTCTACTTGAGTTAAACGTTAGCACCATCTACTGGTCCAGAAGGACCTTTCAAACTTTAGAAAAAGCTGTGGAAAGTGATCCAGCCAAAATGATGCAAAACGATACTGACAGTAACATGTAGTTTTTCAATCCCTGTATAGGCAAAAGAAGAGAAAAAGGAAAATATCATCTTGTCATTACTGGTACCACTTGAAAAAAAAGTAGAAAAAAGTACAAAGTTTCATTTAGGCAGAGATTATATGAAAAGAATGAAAGGCTTAGAGAGTTACAAAGGTTTGGATAGTGACACTTATGATCTTCTACTGTGGTGCAACACTAATCTGCAGTGGGAGACAAAGAACTTCTAGCTCTAGACTGAGTGATGCCTAATGAATAGTTACCAAAAATACTGGGAAAGATCATCTTCAATATCAAGTTAGGGACCTATGGATCCTGGATAGATTGACAAAAACAATCTGGTATCACGCTGCTAGCATTCAGTGCTTCAAATTCCACTAGAAAATTACTTCTGCCCTGCATGTTAAAATCCAGTAAGTTAGCTTGTTGTAGACCACCACTGCTGTATCAATTTAGGATCTTTACATTATACTGTAATTACAAAGGTCAATTAACCTGTTGCATTTTTACATCCTTTGTTGAACCTGACCCTAAAATGTAATCTACTTGCTGGTATGTTATTGGGACAACTGCTCATTCCCCTGCCCCACAAGCAGTGCCTGGCATCCAGCCTCCTGGCTCTGCTACAGTCTTCATTTACATCCACTGCTCGTCATACAGTTATGGAACTAAAATCTTCATTCCTGTAAAAATTGTTCACAGTTCTTCAGGTTTCTTTGAAAACTTAATATTGCATGATATCACTTTCAGTTTCATAATGCAATACTTGCAAGGAGGAGAAATCTGAGATACAGCTGTATACCATGTCATGCTGTTTCTAGAGCTAGAGGCAAGCAAGAGATATTAGGCAAGAGACCTAATTACATTACCTTGATTTCCTTAAATACAAGGACTCCCCACATTGCAGCAACAAGGCCAGGACCCTAAAGAACAAGGTTAATTTATACATTACAGCATATCATTAAAATTTACTCCTTCTCATTACTACTCTCAGGATGGTTGAATTTTGTCTAGATAACATGTTTAGGTCTTTCCATTCTGTATAGATAAAGCACTCATGACAAAAGTAGACTCCAAATAACATGCCTCACTTTAGTCCAAATTAGAGTTCTCAATGTTTCCTAACATTTCCTTTATTAGCATGACTAACTATTGGACGAAGTTTGATTTTATCGCTCAATATGATTATCAAGAGATTGAAACATAGATGTATTTCCTGTATAGCTGGCATCTGGACAAAGCACAAAGCCAGCCAGGCACACAGCTCAGGGAAACTCCTGATTTTCCATGATGTTGTTGTAGAGGAAGGGAGCAATGATCTGAATTTTCATCTCTGATGAGAAAATATCTGAATATGAAGCAAAAACTGGCTCTGTTAATGCTTCCCATTAGAGCTGTTCTGAGAAACACTTGACAGATGTTCGGCCAGTGACCTTCCTCTCTTCATCCTCAATGCAGCTGATGGGACACAGATACAGACAGCAAACAGTGTCTCATGCTGAATGTATGTGTGGGTGCTGTTTCCTAGTGACACTGCCAACTATTATTTGAGGGGTTATTTCACTTTCTAGATAATGTGTACTGTGAGAGGAATGCACTTTAAAAAATGGAACAAAGTGTTAAAGGGATGTGATGCATACCTCTTCAAAAATTTTCTCCAGCATGAAATAAAGCAGCAGTTCTGAAGCTGTGGTCCAGACAGGCAGTTTCTCATCAGTGTTGTCCCTACATTTTTCATTTTGTGATTTTACATCCTTGCCCTTTAGGCATACTGATAACTAAATTACAAAAGCTGCTTTCCATTAATCCTTCAATTTCTAATTAGAATGATCCCAAGTTGGTTTTTTTTTTTTTTTCATTGCATACTGCAGAGTATATTTTGACTTACTGCATCTTGAGGCAGAGCTTAATCTATTAAAGTTGTTTCATTAGTTTGCTTCCAAAATACAGCTGTTAAGCAAAACTTTGGTCTTAATAAATATTAACTCTCATTTGCCACCTTTGCGTAACCAACTAGTAGAGTGTCAAGAGAGTAAATGCAAAAAGAGTTTACTTTTACCTAGTAATTGGAATTTATGCTTTAAAGGTACATCATAAACTGGAATAAAACAGAGACATAACAGGCCAACCTATTTTCCACACATTTGCATAAGAACATTGTTTTCAGTAGTACATAATCTCTTCTGTTGGTTCAAGAACTGTAAAAAGAAAAAATGCTTGACTAAACCAAGCAAAATGACTACTAGGGGATAAATTCACAAATTCAAAAACATCTGGATGACAAAAATGCGCTTCCTGGGATGAAAGCATAAAATAATTCTTCTTTTGAATCTTTTAATTCAATTAAATAGTTAATATTGATATAATTCTGTTTACAAAGCTTTGGCTTTTGGATAACCTAAAGACTCCCATTCTCAAGTCTTCTGGTTTTTCTTATGCTTGACATTGACCAAGATGGTGCTTGTCACAATCATTCATACTCCTAAAAATCCAAAGACTAGTGCAGACAAGCAGAGGAGGCACTGTATACTTTCGACTAAAAATGCTCTAGACCCTTCATAATTTCAACTCAATTCCAAAAACAGAAGGGTAAAAAACCCAATCACTTTTAATTCTAGTTAGAGATTTTATTTTTTTATATACTTACTGCAGTAATTATTGGAAAGCTGACGACAGCACTGAGATAGTGATTGGCCAGGAACCAGCAGCAATTGGCTATTGCCCAAAGCACACCAGAAACAAACCCTTGAAAAAATAAATCCTAATCAAAAACATGCATAGCAAGGTACAGGCAGCAGTTTTATACTTATAGCATAATAAAGCAATTGTATATATGTATTTTAGTATGTTAACTACTTTAACGAGCTGGCTCTGGCAAACCAAAGCAATGCTCAAAGGATAAAAATCAGCTACTCCAACTGAATTAAATTAATTAAAGCAAATTAATTAAAGTTCATTATTTTCTGGGCAATGTGCTCTCCACTCTGGCAATCAGTTTTTGAAAATCTGCAATGTCACTTTGTTCTAGTCTCAGATTAGAACAATAGTTATCACCATCTCCTTAATTAATTAACCTAATAGAAGTGTTCTTTCAAAAGAGACAAGAAATCAAATGAAGATGCTGGAAAGGTGAACCACAATTCCAACTTGAACCAATCACTGCAAAATGGTCCAAAGAAGTAGCTGAAATGAATTGCTAATTTAAAAAACAGTCATACCTGGTAATATGGCCTGGGGATAAACATAAGGCTTATTTTTCCTGACTGCACAGTAGATCAAAAAGTAGATGGTACTTGTAAGAAATATTCCACTGAAGTGTGCAAAAACATAATCTAAATCTGAAAGAGATTTAGTTTGTAAAAAAAACAGCTATGAATTTTAACAAAATTATTTTCACTGATAACATTCATGCTGACAAAAATGCATAAAGGTGCAACTCCTAAGAATTCAAATTCAAATCTCATTGTGTTGAACACAGCTGCCAACCTAACTGAGGATGCATACAATCAGTGACACCTATTAAACATGAACTAAATGCTGTGCTTATTACAGGCTTATAAGCATTTCTATGAGCCATTATTTTCAGAACTCTATTACATATTCCTGAATTAATTTAATAAAACCTTGAGAAAATCTTCAGGTGAGGTTACAGAACTGGGGTGGGGATTTTACATAATTGTAGATGGTCAAGAGGTTGTAATTATATTCCTGTATTCCTGTATCCTTGTTTTGTTCTGTACATTTAAGGGCAAGACAACTGCACAGACCATGTAAGTTAAATATAGCTCAGTTTTGTCCTTTTTCAATCTTGAAGGATGAATCAAAATTTTGAACACTATAATTATGAACAATAACAAATCCATTATGGCTTTTGTACATGCTAACAGAGTATTTCCAACATGATAAAGCAGAAGCATGCAGCAAGGTGATCCTTGTCTCCTTGGAGTTGTAATTTCTCAACAGGAAAGGCAGCTATGGTAATGATAACATCTGTTCTGCCTGCCTGGGGAATACATAGTTGCAGTATTCAAGAGAAATTGTATATGACAATGGCAACATTATGTGTTCTCAGAGGTACTTTGCTCTTAAGGTGCTGCAGGCGTTACCCGATAGAGTAAAACCCAAATGTTATTTGGTTATAAATGTTTTTGGGGGAATGTTGTTTGAAAATGGCAATTAGGCTTATGTTAAACCATTTCAATTAAAAAAACCCATGGTTTTAATTACTTATGTTGTTACATATCTGTTCTCTTCATCAGTTATGATCAATCATAGCTCCCTTTATTGCTGTTGGCAACTGGCAAGCTTGTACCCTTGTTTAACTCATTCTCCACTCATACAAACTCTGTTATTTGAGAATGCTAGCACTTAATGCCTTCAGAAACATACCTGTGAGTTAAGCATGGTAGTCTTTGGGTTATTTTTCAGTGTTTTTCATGGTGTAACTTGCCTCCAAGAAAGAAGGAGTGCTAGGGCAATGATTATGGCAACATCTAAAGTAGTGCAGAACTGATAAATCATCATGGTGCATTTTCAGGCATATCAAGAATTTTATCCTATGCCTTCAAAAAAGCATGAGAACACTGAATGATGAAATGAAGTAGAAGTGATCTATTTGCCTTTACCAAACTGACTTGCTCCTGCGTATACAGTTTCATTTCTTCTTCCATGGTCCTTGATGTAAAGTACTGGTACAAAACTGGAACCATAGAGTATTCCAGCTACTACAGCCAGGCTACAGCCTCTTTAAAAAGAACAAAAATTGGAGAAAACAGCCTTGCATGAGTTAAGGAAGTAGACCACACATGTAAGCCCAGCACTGTAGGTAAAAACTGTGCATCATATAAAAATTGCTAGCTATAAAAATAATATGTTTTAGCACATTTTTATTTTCTAGTAGAGAAATGGTTCACATAGTTTCCCTCTACTTTGTAGCCAAGCAACACAGACAATTCCTGCTTGCAAAAGCGAGCAATCTAGATTAATGACATGGGAAATTAAGTAACTAAGATTTCTTAAAAGCAGAGCTAGGGGACAGCAAACAAAAGTTCAATTAAAAATGCTCCCACCCCACCTTTGGGCTGCAATCTATATATTCTTTATAACTTCCCAGGATCATTGCCTCTTCAGTCCCCTTCTCCATCTCCAGATTGCTGTGCTCTTGGCAGTCTCCACTCCCCACACTAGCTTCTTGTTAGCTTGCTTCCACTTTGGAGCACTTTTAGTGTCTCCTTACCATACTGCCATGCCTTCTCCAGGTGTATTCACTTGGAAACCACACCTGGAAACATGTCATTAGCACAGTCTTCCTAACCCAGCTCTGTAATGACTGAGTTGATATTGTTACTTACTTTGCCCAATTATATTTTTCACAGTAGTACCTAATACTTAATAGGTAAGGTTAGGCACACTCAACAGTGCCAATGGAATCATCTAAATAGTTGTGCAACTATACTATACTATGCTATTGAACACTATACAAGTATGTAAAAACCTGTTATTTATTAGTGTGTGGCTTTGTTAGGAAACCACAGGACACAAATTCTTCTCTTACACTATGTTTAACTGCTTTCTCTGGCTACTTTCTATGCACCAGCAAAGGAACTGTTAGCGACTTACACGAGTCTCCTTTTTGCTGGAGAAAGTTTGTTCTCCCATGAGTCCTCAGTGGTCTCTTCAGAAACATTAATAGACTGAAAAAAACCATGAATTTTCAAGCAAATTTAGTTAAGTTTGATTCCTTAAAATGTGCAATTTCTTAAAGCATCTTCTGTGATTCAGTCTGGTAGACTGGAACCTCTAGTGAGCACTGAGCACAGCCTGAGAACACTCTGAGGGCTCTCTGTTCAGGTAGCCACTGAGCACTGACCTCTAAGATCAATGTAAGGTACATTGTACATTGTAAGGTACAATGGTAGGAGGAACCAATGGTTCTCCAGCTCTCCTTGCATACTTTGGGCTCCCTAAAGAGCAACAGCCAATCTGATACCCCCCACTGGCCTTCAGCCTGTGCCACAGCTGATGATGACAGTCAGCAACTCTCAATTGAGAGTCTCCTGGCTCTGCAATGTGGCAAAAACCTGGCCTTTCACCTAAGCACCCTCAGAGCTTTACAGCTAACCTTTAACTGAAATTGCTTCCTCCCATATAAGAAAGTAATACACTCTTTTTATAGTCTCCATCATCATGAAGAAGGACTTTCTGAGCTGTCTAAAGATGACAAACAAGAAAGAACAATTGGAAATACCTCTTCTGTTGCCAAGATCCACAGATTAAGATACAATCAGTACATATTTATGTTGTTTTTTGCAGCCTACTATAAATCCTAGCAAATCTGACTAACAAATACATTTTTTGTTTTAAAATGGATATGTATTTTCACTACTTTAAATAACAACTGTAGAATACTTACACTTTCTCTCAGTAAAGGTGTACTTTCTAATGAAGCTGAAGAACTCTGGACTTCAGTTTTTATAAAAAGAAATATGACAGCACTCAGAAGAGAAAAATACACCAATAAATACCATGTCAGTTCATAATGACGTAACATTTAGTGTCCAGAGACAAAAGTTTTATTTGGAGGCATATTCCTTTCTTTTCATTATTACCCTAGACTCACTGCAGTATAATTTTTAAGTATTAAACTTAAAAAATGCAATTGCTTTATAGCCATAACTTACTATGATTATATATTTATATATAAAAGATATAAATTTAATAATTTTAAGTTGTTAATTTAACTTAGCTAACAGCCTAAGTGCAAGTAAGTAAATAAATCGGTTTTTGTATCACTTTATAGATCTTTCTTATGTAACATTACTGAAACATCTTTTAACAATGTGTAGTTTCAGCCACATTAACAACAGATGCTTTAGCTAACAGTGCCCTTTTGTACTGAACCACACATAAATGGAACACATGCTTGAAAATTCTATATGGAACAGCTTAAACCTGCAAATAATTGCCTCTGTACTAACAGAAAAAAAGTTAATTTTTAGTCTTCCATAATATGTGAGGGATGGACTACTGCTGCTACAGGGCTTGTGAGCATGCAGGAGGAAAAGGGACATTGCTCAGTGGTGCTGAGCAATATCAGAGCATTAAGTGAATAAAATGGAGAAGAAAGGGTAATATTACTACTCTTAACTCTGCCTCCAGGAGATCAGATAAATACACAACAGAACTGGAAGGATCAGTTTTGTAGTTTTATGAAAAACATTATAATGACCTAGGAATTTCTTCTCCTAGCTGTAAACAGAACATTTCCATTTGAAAAAGGATTCATCTCTTACTGATGGAGAAACATAGGTATAAAAGGATGTTAGTTTCCTCCAGAGGAAGCATGCAGATTCCACACAAGAGGATAAAATGAAAAGCTTACTTATGAGCTCCACGGAGCAACATACACAGGCTTTGTGCAGTTTGCCAGGAAAACATTTGCTCAAAAAAACAATCTCTCTTCCTGTTGATCACTCCTCCATGGTATCTCAGAAACAGGAAGCAGGTGGTAAGCTGCATGAATTCATCAGGCAGGAATAGCAGTACTCCTACTATTTTCTCAGTGCCTCCCAAAATCATATGCCACATGTAACAGGAATGGGGGGTACAAAGCTAGAGAGTCTTGAGGAAGAAGAAAAGTGGAAGCAAAAATCATGAATCTAAGGCAGAAGCTCTCACTGCTACATAACAAAGATCCTTCCTCTGTGTTTGGACCAAAATGTATCCTCATTTTGGTCTCATACAAATAAGAAACAAGCAAAAAGAAAGAATAAAGTCCTTCCAAAGACTGTGAAGGAAGACTCTGTAGGGGAATTTGAAGTGTGACTTAAGACTTATATGACACGGAGCTATTGCAGACAAGAAAACATGCAAAGCCTCTGGCCTTTCATGGACCCCAAAAAGAATCAGGGAAGGGGGTTCTGTGGCATATTCTGTAGTTATGAGATTAAGATTTGTACCCCTGACTGAGTGAAGTGAGATCAGAAATCTGAGGTTTTCTCAACAAGATTCTTCAAGTCAGTCTGTCCTCTGACAAGATTTGAGGAAAGGGGACAATTAGAATAACCTATCTAGGGAGGCAATCTGTGGATCTCTGCTTTGCCTTTAACATGCCTACCAGCAAAAAAATATACTTCTGTGTTTATGGATAACCATTTCACCCCTGTACTGGATATGTCTGTATCTACATGAACACTGACCAGCTAGGTATGGATAGCTCACGAATTTGGAAGTAAACTGATTTGCCAAAAAATCTTCAGTACATTCACTCTCTTGCTAAATCATCCTGGTGGTTGGTTATTAAATACCTATTTGATGTAACATAAGTTCATTACAAGTATCAGTTTTTACCTTATAAGTGAAAGTCCAGCTCCAATATAATTTAAGATTGGTCTTGACACTTCTTCCGGGTCAATTCCAAACCAACCAAACCTGGAACATTTAACCAGTTTCACTTAAATGCATTGACTTTATACAAGTAGCTAAATTATAACCTAACCTTTGAAATCTTGACTCATGTAAATAATTCTGCTTAAGTATATATTTTCAGTATTAGATCAGTGCTTTAGCTGGCTTGCAAAAAGCTATGTCTACTTTATAAGAACAACCTTTAATTTAATGTGTATTTTTAAAATATGTATATTTAAAAACTGAATTTAAATTATCAGACCAAATTGCAGAAGAAAAAAATACAAATACCTACTAGTTTTACATAAAGAAATACATTAATTATTGACTTAACAACATCACTGGGCATTCTTTGTTCTATTAAAACAGAGGAAATACAAAAAGCTGCAATAATTAACTTGAGTACTTTCCACTAAGAAGGAAGAAGTTTTAACACATAGGATAAATCCTCTTTAGTGATACTTGGCAGTGCTATGTTAATGGCTGGAGCTGATGATCCTAAAGGCCTTTTCCAGCCTGAATGACTCTATGATTCCACAGGTGAGTTTACACTGCAGTTATTAATGTAGAATTGGCAAAATTAATTATTAAATAACTGAAGATTTAAAGCCTACTTACCTTGAACTTGCCCAACCTGTCAGCAAATTAAAAGAAGCCCATATCAAAAGGCCAAGAGCTAAGCCAATAGTTTTAACAATAGGGACAACTGTAACATTGCCTGAAATACAAAAACCAAAACCAAAATAAGTTAGAAAATAGAATGTGACTTTGTATATGTTTCCTTTAGGTTCTGTGCCTGGTTGGAAGGCAAAGAAATTTAGGAAGCTACAAGGTGGTAAGAAACAGTGTTTTTAAAAAATAAATACACTGAACATAGACTTTTCCTCCCTATAGTTATAAACATTATTTTTGGTATGAATTTGCCTCTTATAAAATAAGCATAATAAAGGAGTATTTGCTATAAGGATACAGTTCCATTAACAGTGAAGCTTTAAATAACTGAATAAGTACTTAAAAACTACTATCTTATATATGGAAAAGTTTCAAGAATTGGAATCTCTTTATCCTTACCTGTAGCCCACACAAAACCTCCAACCATAGCCAGAGGCCAAAACCGGGGGCAATTCTGGATCAAATTGACTACCAAAGAAACTATCCATATGGAGGCACAGAGAATCCACTGGAAGAACATGCCTGTGGAAAAATCAAATGCACTCAATAGGGAGTTTGCAGAACACTGCATGTGTGAGTCTCTTTATAGAATATGTTTATCTTAGATACAGTAGTAGAGAAAAAAAATCACAAAGGTGGCCACTGCCTTTTTGGATGTCAAGGAACCTTGTTACAATTTATTTGAGGGATGTATTTTTTAGGTGGGTTATAATTTGGTCAGCTTCTTCCTAATCATGCATTCTTCTACAGAGCTGCAAAAGACACTTTTCTGGCCAAGGTTTATACAAGCCCTTACTCTTTAAATACGTGAAACTTTGATGAACTTCTGACAAAGATGATATTCAATTGCTGCAAATTCCTCCCACCACTCCAGCGGCTGCTAACACTGACAGCAACGGGATAAAACATTTTCCAAGCTCATGCTTCTCCAGTAATCCCAGACACTGAGGATGGTCAGTGACAGATCTCTTCTACCTCTGTAGATTCTTGAAGGGTCAATAGTCAACTTTATGCCAGCTGTGCTAAGACTATCCCTTGAAAGCCTAAGCTTGTCTTGTTAGGGTCATACTTGGCACAAAGAGCAGAGGCTACATCCAGCCTGCAAGGTAGGTACTATATTGCAATCACATAATGGCAGATATATTCATCTACAGATCTGGTAATTGGTTATGCTTCACATAAACATGAAAATTTAACATAAACCTAGAAAAGTGACAATATTCCAAGTAGGAAATAGGAACGATTAATTCCTCTTACCAAGTCACCAAATAAAATTACTAAAATTTCAGCTTTTGTTTTTATGTTAGGTGCACAGTTGAAAAGCAATGCTGCAAAGTCCAACAACTTTTACCTTATTTATAAATAACACCATATGTATCTGAGAATCCCCACCAGGGCAGGACAAAGAACATTTCACTATGCATTGTGAAATTCTTATGAAATGTACATCATCCCTGTCAAAGTGCACAACTTCTAAAAAGGCTCTTCTAAAGATATGCCATATGCTGAAGCAGTATTATTGGTTTCTACCATAACAACAGCAGACAAAATTAAACATAGTCTCTGGATTAAGCTCTGATGATGGCCTTGAAACTCTCATAATTTGCTGGTAAAATATTATTCCTTTTAGCAAAAATAGCAACCCAAAGAAAATAATATAATTAAGTTTACCATCACCAGTATCAAATTTCTTGACAGGCACAAAGTTTGTCCCAAATAGAAGGACAGCTACTGTGGAAGAGGTAAAACCAATAGCTAGATCTGTTCCATTGCTGATATTAGCAGCACCGTAAGCTTTCCCGATATTCATCTTTGTTCTGAAGGTGCTTCTTTTCGTGGAGCTGTTTTGCTGTCCTGACAGAATCTGGAATAAAAGAGTGGAATTAAGTATGTGGACAACTAATTGATACCAACCTAGTTTAGAAATCTGTAACTTAAAGGACCCTACTTATCAATCTCTCAAAGCTGAAATGAACTGCAAAGAGGTTAATGTAAAAAAGGTTTGTGTAGAACCCCATGAAACATGCCATAAAACATGAATAAAGTGACTAGAATAGATAAACAAAAATACCCCAGTATTGTATGTTTTATCTGAAGACACAAAAAGTGAACATAGAGGTGCACTCAAAGGTTATGAGAACCATTCCAGTGTAGTTTTCCCTTCCCCATTGTAGGTAGACTAGCTACTGTCGGGAGAGAAAAAAATCTGAAATAGGATGGTGGAAATTTTGCCCAGTCTTGTAAAAGGTGTTGTGACTGCACTCTCTGCACAAGAACTGAGCTGCTGAATATTCTTTCATCTTATTTTACCTAGTCTTGCCTTCTCCACAGTCCTTAGGACACTGAGAACTCTATCTGCTGAAGATATGTTCTTATCCACAGCTTCAGCAGGGACATCAGTGATTGCTGAATTTACATTAGCAAATGAAAAGTTTAATTACACAACTAATATAGGAATTTAATTTCTAGAATTCTTCCCCTTGAAAGCTGTCAATATTATTTTTAACTTCAGTATTTAAGAGAAACAGTGATGACATTTAAAATACGTTATTACAACGGCACAGCTATTTCCATTAATATTATCTTTTTCTCCCTCACTCATCTTCCTTTCCTACTTAGAGGATAAGCTTTTCCAAGCACTTTTCACTGTATTTAAGACTACACACTACAAAGTGTGTCTTACCCAGGACCTGCAGACACTGAGCAGTGCAAATAACAGCACTACAACTTCTTCAAAGACTTGACTTCACAGAATATACCGTGAAACACTGTGAACAGATTAATACACATAAAGGCTGACATCAGCTTCCTTCATTCCATCAAACTTGACTCACTGAGTGAATACTTTTAACTCATCTAGTGGTCAAGTAAGGCCCAAGAGTTGGGTTTTTCCCAGAAGACCTTCATGCTGTTAAGGATGTAGAAATAAAGCTGATTACACTGCAGCTCTGTGAATGCAGGAATCGATTTCGTCTTCACATTTCAAAGTCTGTATCTTACCTGCATAGTGACTTATTTAAAGTGGTTTATCAGTCCGTTTAGTTTTGTACAGAGAAATGTTACTTTAAAAATATTTCAGTTTTATATCTACTAAGAGAACTGTGCTGCACGGCAATATACTTTTCTGCTTATTTCCTATCTTCCAAAAATCTCTATATGGTGTACAGTGAAGACCTTTGCACAATTGGAGGACCAATTCATCATTGGAGAATCATCACCACAAAGGTGGAGAGAAAACACATCTTCCACTTAACTAAGAGTCATGCTTCATTCACCCTGCTTAGAACTCCCCAACTTTCTAAAACTTGGGACACTTTGTTCCAAATTTTGCTAAATTTCACACCCGGCTTTCAACTCCATTTCAAATCCTACGAGAGAAAGCTTAATCCAACAAGGCCTGAAGCAACCTGCTCTAACTTTGATGGCAGCACTGGTTTAAGCAGGGAGTTGAGCCAGTGATCTACAGAGGTCCCTTCCAAGCTAAGTAATTCTATTGTATCATAGAGCAAATAAGAAGTTGTCACACAACATTATGTTGACAGTATTTTTTCTACATACTTTCCACATTAGAGAACTTCTGAGAGTTCACTAAAAGCCTCTTCTTTTCAATCCTATGGTATTGCCAGATGGACTTGCATATGCCTCCAAAGACTTAAGAGATAACAAATGCCAAACCAGAACATTTGTTGAAGCTGCTAGCTCTTAAAGCATAGTGGTTGCATCTGCAACTCAAGCAGATGCAATTGCAATTGATACTGTAAATTGTCCTTGCTGAAGGGCACTTGAGGATTCCCAAGCAGCAGAAAAAAATACAGTTTTGTTGTTGGATGTTGGAGTTTTGTCGGCACCCATTGCTCTTTTTCTACTAAGCTTACCGCACTGTTGTGGTCTGCATTTCCACACCTGCCTCAGAACTATCACACCCACAACAAATCAGGATGCTCACTTATTGCAACAGCAATACATTGCTGCAATCTCTGCAGATGGGGACAAAATCAAGAGGCCCTGTCTTAGACAGCTTTCACCTCAATGGTGATCCAAATTGATGCTAAGGTTCCAAAGAACCTCTTTGCTAATTGAGCAGGTATTTTTAAATTTTGCATGTCATACTGACATGCACGTTTTTCCTATTATGCATTTACCAGTAAGGGTACACCCTTAGGACACTCCTTTGAGTTCCGAGGGGGCTCAAATCAACGTGCCCAAGCAGCAGCATAACCCTTGCTCTAGAAATGTATCTTGGCTTCCCTGAAGTGAACTCTTTAAAAAGACTTTCTTCAGGCACTGTTTTCACTAAGTGCTGTCACGGAACAAGGAAAACACTCAGCTGCGAGCTCCACCCGGGCCGCTGTGGCTTCACTGACGCCATTGCGCCGGGGCTGCGGCGGGGCAGGCCCGGGCTGCGGGCGGAACACGGCCGGGCCCTCGGCCCCACGGCAGGGCAGCCCGGCTGCTCGGCACTGCACCCCGGGGGGATACCCCGAGGGAACACCCCGACGGGATACCCGAGACCCCGTTCCAGCCAGACGCCTTCCTTCCCCCAGCGGCCTGTGGCCGGCTCAGCGCCGCGGCGAGTTTCAGGGCGCTCCGCTCCGGGGCGGAAGGCGGCCGGGACGGGCCCGCACCCACAGATTCCCGGTCCCGGCCCT